ACCTTGGAATACTTCAAGAGGTCAAGCTTTGGCATTTGTTTCAGTAGTGGAGCCCCAAGTACCTCAGGCACTTGTGCTTAAAACCCAATTTACTCTTGTCATGAAGGCGGAGAACAGAACTACTGTGCAACTCTTTTTAGAGCTTTCAATTTGTAATGTATTCTGCCAAAGAGGTTGGTAGGTGGAAGACTTTATTGAAAATGGCCTGACGTTTCGACAGGATCGTCGTCCTCAGAGGCCTAAACATAGCTCAAGGTTTAGATGTTGCATCCTCTACACCGCCAAACGCCTCGACACCCTAGCGTTTTTGACATAATCTTAGGAGAACTGGTGGTGGACTGGTAAGTTTTAAGATTCAGCCAAAAACGCTGGGTGTCGAGGCGTTTGGCGGTGTAGAGGATGCAACATCTAAACCTTGAGCTATGTTTAGGCCTCTGAGGACGACGATCCTGTCGAAACGTCAGGCCATTTCAATAAAGTCTTCCACCTACCAACCTCTTTGGCAGAATACATTACAACTTGAAAGTTCACAATAATGCCGAGGTTTTATGAAGAGAGAAGCTGGACACTCTTCTTAGAGCCTTAAGGTTGCACGAGATTTCGTACCAATCACCTTGTGGGCCCCGTACGGACCTCTCGTGTAAAACCGGGACTATCGTAATCCGTAGAATAGAATCGCCGTACTTTAAGTTGATCCACCCCTCCCCCTCCAAAGCTATTTCCCCTTTTGCACTAGGAGAGTGTCCTCACCTAAATCATACTGATTTCAGTTCTGCACGGTGAGTAATTCAAATGCCCCCACCATATGAGATGCACTGCGTCAAAAACTCATTTCTTTTTGGGTTGTTTCCTTTCTTTTCACTCTCTTCTCGGAACAACAGAATCAAAACAAGGCACTTTTCATAACCCAGAAAGCGGAACACAATCCGACGACAATCGACAAAAAAGCCGTTCCCTCGAATAGCCGAATGAAATTTGTAGTGCAGCGAACAAAGCTGTAGGTTCTTTGAAAAGAATTTCCACTTAGAACTTTCTGCGTATTTCGAAAACTACTATACTAGCACAATGATGACGCGCAGTCGCTTGGTGGGAGCACAAAAATGGATTCAGTGAAGCTTGTACAGGTTATCTTGTGCAGACATGTGGATTCCGGTGCTTGAAGTGGCTTACATTGTTTCGTAGTTTCACAATAGTTTACAGGTTTCACCGAACCGTTACCTGTTAGGTATTATGAACGAGCAAGGGAACTAACAAACAAGCAAAATGCCCCCTCCATCCCTTAAGCCGAACTGTGCCCAATAATGGTCACCATGAGTTATGTTTCGCATCAGCTGAAGATTTCGGGCACAAAGCTGTCCTTCCTGAGCAGCTCTTCACATTATCCGGTAAAGTTGTACGAGAACAAAAGTTTCTGAACAAAGTATTGCAACTGCATACAGGGCAATTAATCTCAGATTGGCTTAGCGTGTTAGATTTCGGCGAAACGTAGCAGCGCCTCGGTCGCCGGATCGGCGGATCGAGTGTGCGCGACTTCAAACAACATCGTTCGCAGTCGAACAGTGCGATCCGAAGCGCGCCTCCGCAAGTTCCGAGAGCGCTCCTTAGGTCGCCACGATATTTCAATCACCCAATCCACTTCTATGGTGGAACCTGATTTCTGCTACTTTATCGCTACTTTTGTTACTTCTGATGCGAGAACAACACTTTGATGTTTATGCAGCAGTAACGTAATTAATTAATTCCAAGAGAGAATAGCTATGAGCGGTAAACATTCCGCCGTAGTCGAAAAATAATAATCTTGTAATAACGACCTAATCATTTCAATCAAAAGATAAACTTACACGACTAAAGTGCCGTTTGTGAAGAACATATGGGACGAGAGTTTTCTTTATTACTGTGCATCTTGCGTTTTACCATGCACAGGTAATTAATGAAGTTTCTTTTCATCTGACAAACTTGAGCACATTTCCGCGATGGTCTAGATGCGAGAACTCATGACATACTGATTTTTCTTACGGTTTTTCCAATTGGCAATGATATAGGGGCGTGTGAAGATAAAGCTGAACATATTCCACATTGTCCTACCATCCAGTCATGATCTTGTAGCAAATATTCGCGCGAGAACCAAGAGACGGGTAATCAAAGAAACTAGCAAAAGTAACTCATTGAGGCAAAATGCCCCTCCCCTCATTTTTAGTCGAACAGCGCGGAAGCGCCCTCAAAACGACGGGGCTCGGAAGGGAAGGATGGGCAATCCACTGTCATTGATTGCGAGAAACGCCACAATGACCGTGTACCGCGCGTCGAACAAACTCGTCAGATTACTGTGGCACACAATGTAAACAACTCGTCCGGCTCACACAGCCCATCATTTTTTCATTGATGCGCCTACACAGGCAAACCATCTAACGGTCGCAACAAGTCGATCTGGGCGCCTTAATCGTACAAGTCCAAAAGTCCTAATAGTTGAGATTAGAGAAACTCCACTAGTTGGTAGTTCGGCACGAAAATTCATTTGAAGACAGGGAAGGTATGGCTGTATTTCCAGCGAACCAGCGATACAGTGAAGAGATGCTCATGACCAGATTTTAGATACCTGTTAGAACCCCTCCAACCGTCCCTTCGTAACAGTTGAAGAAACTAACCTCCTTAAGATAAGGATACACATGTCTCGGAAGGGGGGGCGGCGTACTGTGCACTTGGTCTTCAACCTTAAATTCGCCTGCGGTGACTTCTGATTGGATATTCTCAGGCCTAGGAATGGATAAAACTGTCCGACATGCAATACAAAGGAATGGCAGTTGTCTCGAATGAAAAATATCCATCAAAGATAACCGAACACCATACTTATATGAAGAGGCGAGTCACGCCCCTATATTCGGAGAACGGGTGCTGTGTGCATTGCAATGCTAGTTGTCAGAAAACTTTGTCTTCTACAACTTTACCCGATATGTGAAAGCTGCTCAGAAAGGAACAGCTTTGTGCCGAAACTGTCAGCTGATGCGAACATAACTCATGTGACCTATTGGGCACCAGTTCGCTTAAGGATGGCAAGGGCATTTTTGCCTGTGTTGTGAAGTTTCCCGGCTCGTCTTCATCAAATACCTAACAGGTAACTGTCGAGGTGAAACCTGTGAACTATTTGTGGAAACTAACTAAACAAGTAAGCACTTCAAAGCACCGCCGGAATCCCTTATGGTGAGCAGGCGTTACAAGAGTGGTCATTCATATAAGGCTTCAATCGACCGAACATGGACAAGATACCTTACGTCGAGTCGCCTAGCTAGGGAATATTCCCCTAGTCTGCGCGCGTCGCCCCGACGAGGAACTAACTGCAGTTACTGTTCGCTGCAGATATCAGCGGGTAGGGTTGGGTCGGCGCGCGTCAACAACTTTTCTACCAAGTGTTGTCACTTGCTCTCTTTAACAACTAGGTATAAAGCGGGTTGGCGCCGCGCTAACACCCTCCCCCCTCCCTTCCCCCGCAAACTTACAATACCAAGCATCCGTATCGAGTAATACTGCACGTATAATCCGCTGGAATAGACCCTATGAAGAAAGGGGCTCATTCACAGTTTTTCCTTGAACTGGTGACTTTCTTTCTGAGGCTTTCCGTCAGAATTTTTCATAACAAATGACAGATTTATACAAAACTGACTCTTCTTCCCATCAAGCCCTACTGGGTCCTATTGAGCGCACTCGCCCCTATACCATGAAACCTAGTGAAACCAAGGGTTAAACAGCGATTACTCTGGGCGAGGGGCATACCCCACATGCATCAATGAACAAAATAGTATGTGGCAAGACGATCGTTACATGCCGCGCTGGGCGCGGTAAGTGACGCCGCGCATGCGAGGGACGAGTTGTTCTGGCCGATCGTCTTCTGAATGTTAACAGGATGGCGAAGATCGATACCATCCTTGCCTTCGCTAGCATTCTCATGTGCTTGGTTGTTTTAATCGATAAACTTGACAGATCGAGAATTTTCCACACGCCGTCGTGTTTTGCACCGCGTACGACGGTGGGGCAAAATACGATTGTCTTGTCCGTCTCCCAAAGAAAAAATCAAGAAAAGCTCACCTCCTCCACTGACTCTTCTTTGGACACTTGTGAACTATCCGATGAGATTGTCGCACCGTTCTCCTTATTTTCATCACCCGTTTTTTGTTTTGTTGTCTTGAATAACAGTACATTTAGCGAATACCGAAACGAAAAGAAAAATTAACGGCCGAGTTACTCACATCACATTCTCCATTTTCTAGCAAAATAACACTCGAGCCCGCTGATCCAGAATCGCTTTTCTCGTCTGAGACCTCTTCTTTTATACCATCTTCTTTTGATGTTGACGGCTTCTCCTCATCACAGTCGGCTATTTCTTCCTCCTTTATTTCGATTTCGGGTTGGATCGACGCAAACTTGGGAAGGCTTAGAGCACCTGCAATGCAAAGATTCCTTTGTTGACAAACAAAAAGAAATGATCGTTCGCTTGGTGATGCTGGGTGACCCGACACGCCAGGCGTTTGATGGCCATTCAGCATCGCAAAAACTCTTGAATGCACGTCAGAGACCCACAACTAACTGTTCTTGAGGAGTGGGCCGCTCGCGACCCATACTCCTAGAGAAGTCTGAATAAACGAGGGGAAACCGCTGGGATGGGAGAATGTTGCAGATGGGGCACGGTGGTTAGAAAGAGCTCCTACCTCATTCGATAGCCAGCAGCCCAGAGGAGCATTCCACGACATCCCAGCTGTGATGCTCAAAAGTTAAAATGGAACTGCTAGGGGGGGGGGATGGGGGCTGATTAGTGGCGCTTACCGCGTACTGCCCCGAGGAGCAGGTAGTACACATTATCAAGAGGATGCAAACGACAGGGCGTGTGAAGAGGTGTGACTTCAAGCTTATCCAGAGCAGGTTTTTCCGCCAACTATTAGACACTCAGGTTGGCATCACTGGTGGAAAAGACCGTCCTGCTTGTTGCAATTCACGCCCCATCATACGCCCTATCATTTGCGGGAATCGTGGCTGCATATCCGCTACTTTTCGCGCCATTACAGATTACGCGAATCGGATCAGTACATCTTGTGACAACTCGTCCGCATAAAGCGTCGCGAAACTCGTCCGGATCACCAAAACAGGAGTTTTATGACTAACACCCCACATATAATTGTTAACGTTGGCTCGGGTGTTTGCAACAAGGGCAGCTCCTAATGATCAGGCCCGCTAGTGCTGTGCTTCGGAAAAGCTGTCCAAGGAGAAAACCCGTTGAATGTTGTGTCATGAATGGTACGCCCAATGCAAACGATCGACGAACATACGCCGGTACTCACAACTTCCCCGTTCCCCTAATCCCAATCGGAATTTTTATCTTTGTTTCCAATCTTTATATCTTTCTCACGGAACACCATCGCAAGCTTGCCATGGGACCCGTCACTAGGAGCGAGGACGAGCTGCGAAAGTAGGACTGTCTCATGCCCTGGCTAGAGCTACCATGTTAAAAGAAGCAGAGCGTGACCACAATGAAGACATTTTCATACTTTGTCACAGGTGACCCCCCCCCCCACAGCTCTACAAACCGTCGAAGGCATATTAGAAGAAAACCCTAGAATTTTGGCGCCAAGTAAAGACGAACTCTTCTGCTCGCCAATCGTTCTCCAATCTTCAGGAAAGGCTATAATCCACCATATCTCTGCTGGAGAACCCGAAGCAAAATCTGATACTATGGTACTCCAAAGAATTAGAGGTAGCCACAAAAGGTGCCAGTACAGACATCAGACATCATCACGAAAACGGGCCATTCCGCGGTGACCTATTTTCTCGAAATTCATTGGTTTGTTAATGGGAGAGAGAGAGAGCAAAAAGGCGGAAATACCTGAAAGATGGATCACCCTCTTTATCTTTCCAACAGCAGTCGATGATTACAGAGGCGGCTTCCGGGGGGAATAGTCTCGAACAAGGCAACTAGACTGATGGGGTAAGTTAATAGGCAGTCGGCGACGTATTGTTTCCGAGCGAGCCAATGCTAGAAGGGCGCTGTATAGCGGGAGATGGGAAAAAAAACGAGTGAAAACGGTTAAAATCCCAAAATGCGAGAAAAGCTTCAGTTGTAAATCGATTTCGGACGAGTTTCCCGTACGCATCTTGCCAATCACCGCTACCGAAGATACGGCTGCATATGTGTACCCATGTATGCATGCAGCATCCACAGCCCCCGCCGCTTCAGCCTAATCCTTCGTCATAATTTGCTTAGCAATGAATGATAGCAGCGTCCGACGGTACGGGCAGGCCGTAGCAGCGTTTGGACGTAAAGTGTGGCTCCGATAGGGCCATTAAAGGGCACCTTCGCCTGAGGGAAACCCGCTAAGGCAGCGCTTGCACGGGTCGGCGGAACTGCCTGCCATGAGTATCGATCCTACCGCTTGGGGATTGTGCGTGCCAACTGCCTTTAAGCGTGGGATGGGGCATTTATCATTCCTCTACTTTAGAAGGGTTTTAGGCCAAGCTTCTTGGAGGGAGGAGCGCCAGGCGGCGCTACTAATATGCCACGTTATGACTGCTCCCCCTCATAGAGATAGTTCGACTATTTCGGTGAAAGGACGCAGACGTAGTTCCATTGCACAGTTTTATCCCATCGTGGAATATGAATCTAAGGAGGGACACCACGAAAAGATCGCAGTATAGTAACGTGATGCCTTTTCGAATCTCAGGTGAAGCGGGACAGAGAGAGAGCATAGCGAAAGTACCTCCGTTTCACGCTCCCAACTACCTTTACATTCTTCTATACACTGTTTCTCTCTTAAAAAAGTATTCTCAATAAGATAGCCAGCATCCCATCCCAAATATTTCATTCATATCAGGAATGATGCATAATACACGCTGCATGAATGATCCACCCTGTAGCCCTTCAGATCAGGGGATCAGGGGTAATATGGATATGTAGCCCCGTGAATTCCAGGGGTTTTTTTAGGGAGAAAACTTTCACGAGAGCAAACGGGATTAGCGCCTCAAGATAGAGAGTCAGGCGGACCATCATGTATATTTCGTCACTCTCCCCGCCCCTCCCGATGGTAAATGGAAGTGGCAGAAGTGACCTGCACAGACCGCCGGAACAACACAACTTTGGAATTACCAGGCAGCGTTCAGACTTTGCGACGGCAGCGCTTCGGTCATGCGCTCAACGCGATCGATGCGCATGCTTTTATCAATCGCGTCGAGCGCACGACTGAAGCGCTGCCGTCGCGAAGTCTGAACGCTGTCTTGTTGGGAGGGTGGGGGCGGACAAACTGAAGGAAGAACCACAAAAGGCTAACAGTGTGCAGAATATCAAGGGAACACTGCCCGAACGTGCAAGAAGGATTCCTTTTGAGTACGAAATGTTGCCGCATTGATAAATGCAATGAAACCTACCACAGAATGCAGTAAAGAAAAAAACAAGAGCACGATTCGGCTTAGGGGGAGGCACTTTGCTCTTTTACTAGTTTCTGTTACTAATTCTACTAAATTACAAGTTTCACCTCGATTAGACCTGCAGACTCTTGTCAAGTGTAAACAAAGCTCGTGCTATTGCATAGATTTACAAAAACTCACAGGTCTTTACAGAGGCATCGGCAGTGCTTGATGAACCAGCAAAATGTTCCCTCCAAGCCGAACGCAACAAAATAGAAGCGAAATTGAGAATAACCTCTAGAAACCAAAACCCACCTAAATACGCCGCCGTATGCGGACACACCACGTCATGTAGAACGAATTTGGGTGGCGGCGGAGGGGGTGCTGGTGCTACACTTCTCAATGGCGGCCTTCCAACACCTCGCCCACGAGTAGCACCGGAGGAATGATAACCATTAGGTCGAGTTCCAGCTCCTGCTGCTGCAGACGCTGCACCACGTCCACGACGGGGTTTCCTGCAAGGAACAATTATAAATAACGTGAAAAAGGGCAAAAGCCCGACATTGATTAATGACCTTTTGAAAACGGCACGCTTCCATTTAAAAAATCGCGACGGCATTTGGTGACGAATTCGGCCTATTCAGCACCGAGATTCGACACATGACCAGTACCTTTTTACCCTCCCAGGCAAAACTGATGCCTTTTGTGGGCAAAACGATGACCTGCCTTCTTGTATTGCTGTCAACCTAATTAAAGGAACGATGGCTCAGAACACAACTGAGAGCTTTCGCCCTCTTTGTCAGCCAACGATTCAATCAACAACCGGATGACCAGGGAACCATCGCAAAATGTTGTCGGTTTTTCTCCCGGACTGAATCACGTAGACAAACATTGTCATGAGCCCCTCGGAGAGCTCACACCTCCCCACTACAGAATTTCGTATAACTCTCACCTCAGGTATCTGTCGGGACCATCAAGGCATTCGCTCTTACCTTCCTTATTCTTCCTCCTTTCGTTTTTTTTCCTTCTCTCTTCCTCTGTTCCGCACGATTCTCTCGCTCTCCTAATATGCTCGGAGGACGTGCAAGTGTGAAAAAAATAGCCTTTGGATCCTCACAGACGAGGGAAACCATTTAAGTGAAACCGGATGCCCTGTAAGCCTCCCTCTATCAAACCCCGCTGTCTCACTACTACAAAGATCACTTCACTGAAAACGACTTTTTCGGAGACTGGACTGCCAGAGAAAAAAAGATCAAATCAAAGGCCGCCATTACAGGAACAGGAAAATGAATGAATGAAGCAATCGACTTGGAAGCCCCGAAAAGTGCTCACATGGCAACGCGCCGGTGAACAACGAAAAAAAAAACGGAAAAACGCGGCACAAAGGAGACGACGAAACGACGTCATACGCTACTACTACCCTAAGTACTTTTACTATGAGAAGTCCAACCGGAGCGAATATAATCCAGTGAGAAGGGAGAAAATTTTCTAACCTGCCCTTCCCATTGCTGAGGACTCAGTATAAGTCTTGTGGAGCGGGATGTGTACCAGTGAGGTTGCATTCGGCGCGCGCGGGTCATTTCCCCACCAGGTTGTTGAACGTAGGCAGAGCGGACAAAAAAAAAACGGGATGCACAACGGGCTATTCGCGAATCGACATTGATGCATGAAGCTGTTTTGTTATGATAACTGCTGTTTAACGCCGCAGTACGCGTTCCGAATGTTATCACAAGAATGCTGAGTTGTGGGCAAAAGTCGTGCCCCAGGCGGGAGTCGAACCCGCACCTCACGCTTTCCAGGCGAGTGCGCTATCCTTTACGCGGTCAGTGGCCGCTTTCCCCTCCTCAGCTTAACTTTTATGCCGTTAGCCTTACGAGCGACTCCACCAGCGTTGTTTAACTTTGTGAGCCGGTCAGAATTTTCGCCTTGCTGGAAGAAAAAAAAAAAGAAAAAAAAAAAAAAGCCGCTGCCGCGCCAAATCCATTTTTTGGCATACTCCATCATTCCCAGCGAACAAGATTGTATATGTATTATATTCTACTTCACGCTGAGTAGGGTCAAAGAGACCATATCGAGCCTGGTGAAAAAAAACGACAAGCCCAGAAGCGAACGCATATGGATTCCAGCCAAGTAGCGGCTCCAGTACACACCTACA